TTTTAGGGCCCCCCGGGGAGGTCATATGAAAGAAAAAATATGCCTCAAGACTGAAATGTAACGAAGGTAAATTTTGCAAGTAATTTACAGATTGCAAAACGGAACTTAAAAACTACGAAAATTACCAATAGATCAGGGTTTGTAAAAATAGCCCTTAGTGCGTTAGTAACGCAATATACTAAATAATCAAAGTAGATTTTCCTGAAATAGTTTGGTTCATCTGCACCTTTAAACACTCGCAATTTTTTGTAACTGCACACTTGTTTTTTTTGTTGTTGTTTTTTTTGTTATTCTTTTTTCTTTTTTAATGACACAAATAAAAATGACTCAAAAGTTTGCCGAAACCGTGTACAAATGTATATGGAAATTATAAACGCCATAATGGTCCAATGAAATTCGACGTTACAAACATGCAGTACAATAATCTGTACTTGACACCGACACTGATGTTGATAAACGCATTGTGCCTACAGAGGTATCGCTAGGTAATTATCGTGACAGATATTGTAAAAATGTTATGATTTATCCGCTGAAATATCGGAAAATGGTAAAAGTTTGAAATCAACCAGAACATAAGTGCAGACGCATCTTTTTATTACCAGCTGCAGATGTAAAACTGCTGGTACCTGGCTTTACTGCCGAGTGATAAAACATTAAAAAATCAACAACAACAAAAACAACAAGTATAAAAATAAAATACAAGGATTGCCCACTAAAAATATATGTAAATTTTACAAATTTAGGCAACTTTTCAGAAATGATAAAAAGAAAACAACAGTAACCCGTTTATAAATACATTTTGCAAAGGGAGATAATAAAAAATACAAAATAATAATAATAATAATAATGATAATAATTTCTATAACATCTCGTCAGTGCACACATAAATTCCTGTTAAAAATGTGCAAAATACAGGTTAGTCCAAAAGCCTTTCTCGACAATATTTGGTCATATCTCTTTCATTAATACGTTTATAACAAGATCGTTATTTGTTCAGAAATATTCTTACCTTATTTAATGGCTTTAAGATTCCATATTAAGCAAATACTGATTGCGAGCACATATGTACTACCAGTAGATCTACATACACCCTATTATTTCCCCAAAAATGTTCCTAATCCATCATATAGCCATCTCCTGAGGAAATTTGTATTAGGCTAGCATTTCTATACATCTTTATAGAAAATGTGTCAAAGGACAATATCAATCATGAAAACAAGCGTCTACAAACACTGATACAACTTCTAACGATTTTTCATCCATCGAGAAAACCCCCTGAACATTTCTGTGACGAATTGCAATGTCATGAGAGTGACGATAGTGACTTTGCCAAAGTTGTGAGTGTACTATACCATTCCATTACTAAGGTCCCGGATGAGATTTTCCAGATACGCGTTTCCATTAGCTTTAATTAAAGATTGATACATGTACGCCATATGGACATACCAAATACAAGAATCGGCATTTGTTTCATGAGGGACTGGACTGGTGAGTTGTATTAACATGTATACAATGTTTGGTTTGGTAATATAACCCTTAATGAAATGGGCTAACATGAGTGGTAAAGTATTCTCATCGGACATTTCATAAATTACACCAAGAGCGCACAACTTTCACCAAAGGCTAATTAGTACTATCTCTAATGAATCTAGTCATTTATTCCTCGGGAACAACCATTAAGCCTCATAAATGGGCGTTTCGTTTTAATTGAAGCAATAAAGTACCCATCGCCTTTTATTTGTAGAGCCAAGATTTGGTTAATATTTTGTACTGCCTGTATCCATTCTAAGGCTAATCTTATTTCTCTTGAAATCGTTACTATTTGGAGACCAGTAATTCTAAAAACAAACCATGACTTGTAAAAATAAGAAATGTGTCACTATGCATGCATGATGCTTTACTTGCTAACTAGCTGATTTTACATTTGTATGCATGTATTTTTTTAAGTAAAGAAATCACACATCAGTCACGCAACGAATAAACTTGACAACATGTAAAAATTTCGAACATTTTAAGATATATTTGTTTACCTATATGTATTCAAAAGACTACATTTAAAAATAAATCCATACACGAATACTAAATAACGTAAATGCAAGATAATTGAATTCCATTCCCTTATTATAGTATAAAAATAATTCTGTTGTATTAACGAATGAATACGAGGTATGTTGATGGTTGTCTTGTCTTTAAAGTACACTAAATTGCTCCCGAATTAGTTTTGTCACGCACATAAAGCCCAGTTTATAAATCAAAGTAAGACCGCTTCACATAAACCAAAATATTCATTTATTTAAAATTACAAATTCAAGTCTATTGTGAAATGAGAGTATTAAAATACAGGCCGAGATATTGCTTTTTTAATTTTCCTGATTTATGGACAAAATTCAATATCTTATATTCTTTTGAACCTTCAGCGAATCACTTAAAACATAAATAACAAATATATGTTGCAAATTGTGCATACTGAAATATAAATTGTACAAATGACACTTGATTACAACAAAAACTATGATATACAACAAAATTACACTAATATTTCTAAATACCAAAAGCACCTTACTATGTAGTAAATGTCAACGTCTGAGAAATATGTTTCATTTAAATTCTCCAGTTTCTTTCAGAAACTCATTAGTATCCCCCCTCGCACCATCTAAAGAGCTCTCGTTTGTTAATAATTTCAGCATCATTAAACCTGCTGGACCTGCAAGTGATTAAACTTTTGCCGCCAGTATATAGAGCCAGGACGTCATCTGATCTGGTATTTTGATATTGAAATCTCTTAAACTTTGAAAGGACTGTTTTAAAATCAAAGCAAGGCAAATCTGTAAAACCAAGTTAGCAGGTTAAGGGCTAAAAGGTTTTAACAAAAATGACCTTTGCACACTTTCACATATACATAATGTATAAACATAATGCACGTAGCCAAGTATTGCAATGCAATGATTAAAAGCTGCTCATTCAGTTCAACTGAATTTGGAATGTACCCTAATAGTCACAATGCAACTATCCCGCCCCCTCCCACCAGCACCGGCTAATATTTAGCATCGATATTTATTGCTTTAATAACGCATGCACTTAAAGAAACCACCATCCGCGACGTTCATTACAAATTCCCAAAAGTTCAAAGTGGGGTAGAAAATAATTTGCCCTTGAATTGATAACCAATTAAAAGAAGGGAAAATCATTTATAATGCTGATAAATAAATCATGGCTCGAAGTGGGAGCGGAGGGAGGGGGTCTGAAAAGGTAGGAGGGATGTAGAAACGATGGTAAATATGACAGTATTCAAAATGGACGCCAAAGTTGTTTTACAACAAAACACGATATTTCATTTGGTAGTCATGAACTTATTTGGAATGACTGGACGTCAATTCCGGTAAAGAACACCGCCTCGCTCGCTGGTATAGATGTGTATATGAAAAATCGACAACTTTTTTTCTCCGACTCACGGACCATGAAAATTTACAGAATGGCTGTGGATGGAAGGAATCTTACTGAGGCATATTCAATTTCTTTCTATATTTAGTGTAGATCCTGTAACTCAAAACAAAATATGATTTTATATCATAATTATAATGCTCAAATGAAGAGTTATCAATATTCCAAAAAAGCATTATTTGTAAATAGATATTACCGAGTAAATAATGGGAGGTAATTAGAAATTTATTTTCGGTAAAGTCTAAGGCAAACTTTTCAATAAGAAATGAATGCATATATTTTAATGATTACATATAATGCACATTTGCAGTACATATTTAACATATTTGGTTGTTTGGAAATTGTTTAAGAAGAATAATTATATACATATATAAAATTTCTCTGACAGTGTTGTTACGTCCTTAATTGCAACATAACATACAGGATCTTTAATGGATAAACGCATCGACAGGTAAATTGAGAAGAAAAGATTTACAAAAAAACTTTCAAGCTGAAAGCGAAGAGTAACTGTTCTGAAATTAAAATTATATAATAAAAATAAAAACTTTGACATATTTCCCACAACTAACAAGGCAAAGGTGTATTCGCTTTCTATATAATTGACCATTCGTCAAGCTAAAAAGAACTGTTTTTTGTCCTTCGCTATTAATGGCGACATATGGCCACATATTTTTTGTGTCGAGTATACTGAAATCAAATTCATCTATTTGTTTTTTCACTCAGATTATTTCCTCTGGCATCAACGTTGTCGAGGACATAGCAGTTGATTGGATAGCGGGAAATCTATACTGGAATGACTTTACATTAGAAACTGTAGAAGTGGCCAGACTTGACGGTTCCAGTCGAATGGTCCTCTTCAGCGAAAATGTTACCCGACCGAGAGGGATCGAGATCGATCCGCGGAAAGAGTAAGGGCTGATTATTTTTATTTGGATTACGATCTTCTTATACTTCTTTACTTCATTTTCTTCATCTTCCTCTTTTACTTTTTCTTCTTTTTCTTCTTCTACTTCTTCTTTTCCTTATTCCTCTCTCTCTTTCTCTCCTCCTTCTTCTTCTACGACGATATCATACCTGTATATAGCTCAGCGTTTAAAGTTTTAAGCATACGAGGCACCGACGGCAGCCATCCCCGGAAGTATTTCTTATGATTATTTTTTAGCTCACCTGTCACTTTGTGACAGGGTGAGCTTTTGTGATCGCTTTTCGTCCGGCGTCCGTCCGTCCGTCCGTACACTTTTACTTTAAATGACATCTCCTCATAAACCACTAAGCCAATTTCATCCAAACTTCACAGGAATGTTCCTTTGGTGGTCACCTTTAAAACTTGTTCAAAGAATTTAATTCCATGCAGAACTCTGGTTGCCATGGCAACCGAAAGAAAAAACTTTAAATATCTTCTTTAGATATTTGGCATGAAACATCTTCTAGTGAGTATCTACCAAGTTTGTTCAAATAAAATCCCTGGGGTCAAAATTGGCCCCGCCCCAGGGGGTTATTGATTTTCCCTATATGCATATAGTAAAAACTTAAAAAAAAATCTTCTTTTAAAGAACCCAAAGAGCTAGAGCTAAGATATTCAACATGAAACATCTTCTAATGAGTGTCTACCAAGTTTGTACAAATATAAGCCCTGGGGTCAAAATTGGCCCCGCCCCAGGGGGTCATTGATTTTCCTTATATGCATATAGTTAAAACTTAAAAAATCTTCTTTTAAAGAACTCAAAGAGCTAGAGCTAAGATTTTTAGCATGAAACATGTTCTAATGGGTGTCTACCAAGTTTGTTCAAATAAAAGCCATGGGGTCAAAATTGGCCCCGCCCGGGGGGTCATTGATTTTCCTTATATGTGTATAGCAAATACTTAAAAATCTTCTTTGAAAAAATCCAAATAGCTAGAGTTTAGATATTAAGCATGAAACATGTTCTAGATAATGTCTACAAAGTTTGTTCAAATAAAAGCCCTGGGGTCAAAATTGGCCCCGCCCCTGGGGGTCATTGATTTTCCTTATATGTGTATAGCAAAAACTTAAAAATCTTCTTTGAAAAAACCCAAATAGCTAGAGTTTAGATATTAAGCATGAAACATCTTCTAGTAAGTGTCTACAAAGTTTGTTCAAATAAAAGCCATGGGGTCAAAACTGGCCCCGCCCCAGGGGTGTCATTGTTTTTAACTATATGTGTATAGTAAAAACTTAAAATAACTTCTTTTAAAAAACCCAATGAGCTAGAGCTTAGATGTTTAGCATGAAACATCTTCTTTTGGGTGTCTACCAAGTTTGTTCAAATATAAGACCTCGGGTGAAAATTGACCCTGCTGGAGGGGGATGGGGGAGATCATTGTTTTTCATTATATGTGTGTAGTAAAAATTTAACAAACTTAACATTGTGAAACATCTTTAAATGAGTGTCTTTCAAGTTTGTTCAAATAAAAGCCCTGGGGTTTAAACTGGCCCCGCTCCGGGGCCTTTATGCAGGTGAGCGACCTCAGGGCTATCATGGCCCTCTTGTTTCTTGTCTAAACACATACACACAAAAATGCAATTCTTTTCTTTATTTCAGCGCTCGTTACATATTCTGGTCGGACTGGGGACAGTATCCGAGGATCGAACGTGCTGGTATGGACGGTTCAGGCCGCACCACCATCGTATCCACAAACCTGTACTGGCCCAACGGTCTCTCTATAGACTATCCGACACGGAGGTTATATTTCGCCGACGCCAAATTAGATTCTATAGAATTCTGTAATTATGACGGATCAGGGCGTCGGAAAATCATACTCCGTTCAAACGTAAGTATTGTATAATTATATGTCATTGCGTTTAACAAACGTTCTACTCGGTATAACAATGGAAAGGCCATTAAGTCAATACTCTTATACTGATAAACCGATTCTTTTTAATCAAAAATATAATACCCATTTTATGCAAGTAAAATCATTTGAATACAGAACAGAATAATATTAGTCATGTTCATAACACAGAAACTTAAAGGTCGCCGTCCGTAACAAATTCGTTTAAATTGAACCTATTGACCTAATGACCGGCAGTCGTAAATGCAAGCATACAGTAACACCCCGGAAACGGCTTAGGCAAACTTCAACATTTAAAAGTGAAAACGGTGAAATAAAAAGAACTATGTTCATGCAGAAGTGATCATGGAACTTTCAAAGCGACGTTGTTTTGCCACTTCATGAAAAGCAGCGTATTGTACGCAATTCAACTAAAGTTCAGATAAAACATTTGTTACCGCTAACCGCAACATATTCCACTTTATTTCATATTACAGTAATGATACAATTGAAGTAATAAAACCGAGTAATAAGTTTTATTGCTTTACAGTTTTTACACATCATGTACGTATTCTTGTTCTGTTTCCAGATTTTATAACATGCAATTATGATTAGAAAATACCACTCGAACGAACTCGTCTCGACCTTTTTTGTTTCACCGTTTATAATTCATGTATGTTGAAAATGATCGTTTTTCAGTTTTTATTACACTCGCACGACATTGTCGTGTTTGCCGACTTGATCTACTGGACGGACCGATCAGCGGAGACGGTTTCCATGTGCCTGAAGTACAACTGTACACATCTATATACCAACCAGGAACGCCTGAACAACCCTATAGGAGTTACTATATTCCATCCGGCTAGACAGCCTGAAGGTTTGAATCTTCTTTTCTCTCCAGATAATTTTCTTAAAGCAGCATGCCTCCAGATTCATGCTATTTTCATGGAAATTCTAAAATATAGAAGTAAAGTATTGTGAAGTGAACGGCACTTACAATCCACGTAAATTATCAAAAATATATCAAAATATGCAAAAATGGCCCTAATTGCTTACTATTAAATCAAGTAATAGAAATATGGTGATAAATACAGGGAAATCAATCACTAATCCACCATAGCATGTAAATTATTACTCAATTCTTGAATCTCTTTATATTACCAAAACAAACTTCACAATTTCTGTACACACATGTTTGTTCTATTAAAATCATTATATGATGAGAGAAATGTTTTATTTTCAGATGAAAATCCATGCAGCAAAGCTTCTTGCAGTCACCTCTGTTTGCTCTCGCCTGTGAATAAAAGTGGGTTCATCTGCGCATGCCCAATGGGAATGCGACTTTCACAATCTGCTCCGCATCTCTGTGTTGAAGGTGAAACGTCTTTGTTAGGCATAGTCATACTGTAAATGTAGCTAATCAGAATTTCCTTACGAAAAAAATCGTTGTATTTTTCAATATATCTTGTGTCCTTTTGACTAACGCATTTAAATGACATAATGCTAAAAGAGACTTGTGTCATTTCTATCGTTTCATCAAACTATTGTCACACTGCTGTACAAATGAAATTCGAAAGGATTATTTATTTATGTTCGTCTGTTAATTTGGAAATTTATAATGTCTCTCAACGCTATGTATAAAGGTTACATCATAGTGTAAGTTTTGTATATTTTCAGACATTACCGATTACATAATGTACAGCCACGCGGAAGGTATTTCCGCTTTACAACTTCCGGTTAGATTAGGCAATGAGAGTTATCTCCCATTAACAAGGAGTCAGAAAGTTGTTAGCATGGATTTTGACAGTCAGAAAAAAGCACTTTTCTTTGTTGAAGAGTCGAGCAGGGGAAATGTAAGACGCAAAACACCTTTATACAAAAGCATTAACAACCGTTGATTTGTTTATTTTATTTCTTTCATTTAGATTATTACCGATAATTCATTCAGTGCGTTGTAAAATTATCTATCTCCTCGTTTCTACTTTCAATTTTTGGAATTCAGTTAAATGTGATCATTTAATGTAAAATGTGCATGCCCAATGGGAATTTGTAGGTTACATCTTCAAAGACAGATTCAAAAATAAAAATTCTTTCCGGTTACATTTATTTCAAAGTCGACGTCGTTGTCTCGCAGGTCCAATATTTTGTGTATGACTTGTTTGTTTTTCTTGAGCGTAAAAGTGAACACAGTACTATGATATTATGATTAATTCATCAGTATCAAACTTTATTTTGCAGACGACACTTAAGACCATGGGATTATTCTCTGGTAACGTTTCTATACTCGCACCGACAGCATACATTGGTAACCCGGCCGGTGTTGCTTATGACTGGGTCTCCAAAAATCTATTTTGGGCCGATTGTAAGTATGCGTGGCAGAGGATATAAGAACAGTGTTTCTGATATAAAGCTAGAAGCTTTTGTATGTTTCTTTTCTTTGTGTGTTTGGGTGGGATTCTGAGATGATGTTTTATTTTCTAAGTTTGTACCTCACTATTAAAATAATTGCCGTTACTGTATGTACACAGAGAATGGAATATTCAGGTATAAAGGTACACGTATTCGAATTTGAAATAAACCATTTCTATCCTTCAAAATATAAATCAGTAGATTTCATTAAACCGTTGTGTTTTACCTTTCTCTTGTAAATAAAACTTGCTCATAAAAGTACTACACAAAACAAATATAAAAACTATTAATTTTACACCGAGTGATTTGTGTCAAAATAAAGGCCCATGAAGCCTAAAAATGACAATTTCTTTTGTTAAACTTTATATTTGATGGTGTCATATAGCTGAGTCATCTTTTGGTTTTTATGTGTTTGACATTTAGTACAGTAATAGTGATTAAGAATTTTGTATGGAAGTCAAAATACCACTTCAAATTGGTCACATGTTGCTTCCTTTATAACAAATCATTTCACATTTTCTTCAAATGATAAGCGTCTTACATATTCTAAATTCACTATAACGACAAGTGTTTGCCCCTTCCTGAGGCTTAACGTGCCTTTAATTCATTTATCAATGCTGTAAATGTATTTATATTTCCAAAATATAATTCAAATGACATGACTAATATGCAACCAAATTATGACAGGATCTCATCTCATTGTGCAAATATTTTTTCCTAGTTGTAAGCGGCACCATTGAGGTGATGAGGACCCAAGGTAAATCTGTGTATCGTAAAGTTATTTTAAGTAACATGGGAAGACCGATAGACTGTGTCACGCCGGTAGCAGTTTGTGTAGATCCCTCAAGAGGGTAAGTTGTTAACAACCCGCATATTTTGCCCAATAACTTGTAAACTATAGTACAATTATATGTTCTTTATTAAATGACAAACAAGAACTCTTCATAGTCCTCCTTGTACTTTGATTCATGTTAACGAATGGCACGGGAATGTGCGTGAATTTCGGAGACGTACTCCTGAGTGAGAGCAGAACATAACATAATATTTATTTTGTTTTGACTTAAGCATATAAGCATTAAGCTTATCATCAATCATGAAAATATAATGCATGTACATTCAATCGCATACAAATGAAAATGACAACACAAGTTGTAAGTTGCATAGAAGGAAAACAATATACATTGTAATCAGTAAGCATCAAATCAAAATTGGCAAATATACATTATTACATACAAGTCAACATTTGATATTTTGTCAATGTTGTCATGTTGTTATTGGTAGTTAGATAAACTTTATTGTTGCATTTTAACTCAATATGTGTTATAAAAGCTTAGAAATATAGATAAAATACTTTTCAACAGTTATAATTTATATGATTGTTTCTGTGTTGACTACATAAATTTTGTTATAATGTACTCACATTTTCCAGGTTTATTTACTGGATTGATATTGGAGGTCACGGTTTGCGTCCCAAACTGGCGTCAATGTTAATGGACGGAACGCAAAGACAATTACTTCATGCAAGACGTGTAGACACGCCTACATCGTTGTCACGTGATCCGGCTACAGGCGATTTATATTGGACAGAAGGCAGACGACAACAGGTAAAGCATCACTAAGGAACTAAATTTAAAAAATATATACATTTATTTAAGTAATAACATGCCAGAACGTGTTAATATCAAGAAGTGGCAAAATTTCAAATTCTTGGATTAACCAAAAAATAGCTGAATCTCATTTGGTTTGAATACTGTCAGCAATGTTAAGAAAGCAGCATGAAAATGTTTTTTAAGACCAAATATGAGCCATATATTGATGTTGAATATTAAGAAAAGAAGTTATGTTTATAAGATATTCATTCGACCAATTCAAATTCAATTTCAATATTTTATTAGGCATATAAACATTATATACAGTTTTTTGCCTAAATGAATATATTAGGCGGCAACAAATATCATGAGAAGAGTATGTTATATACAAAGAATGATGATAAATGTCAATTATAATATATATGTATAAGGAAACACTCATATTTATACATTTCAATTCGATAGCACATAAATTTATTTGCAAGTGACTACTACATTGTCCGATAAAATATTCCGATAACTGGGTCGTATAATTATAAACATGTATAATACAAGATCGGTACATGTTACCAGGCCACACAAACAAAATTATGTGCTTTACATGCAAAAAAAAAGTAATACAGTATTATATTTGAACTAATATAAATCTAATCAGTAAACGCAGTGCGTTTTATATTTGCTAAATATATAAATTTTGCTAACTTATTTAAAACATTCGACTGTTGTGTAGTTAACAAAGTTTTAAATTTCTGAGACGTTGGCCAATGGCAATAATATTTAGGGAGACATGCATTTCTTATATCTCGATAATGCGGGCACACAAGAACAAAATGATATTCATTTTCAATAGCATTCATTTTACAATATATACATTTTCTATCTTCTCTTACAACATTTCTGAAACGACCTTCTTCAATTGCAAGTCTATGGGATGAACATCTTAATCTAGTTAATGCAATACGATAAACATCAGTTTTGACACACGTCAAATATTTTTCAAATCCAATGCAATCTTTTATAATTTTATAGGTACTCAGTTTTGGCATTGTATCAATCATTGAGTATAAATCTTGATAATATTGACTATACAATCTTTCGATCACAGCATTCAATTGATATTGAGAAATGGAAATACAATTCCATAAATATGCAAAACCTAAGTTTTCTAGTAATGATTTAACAAATACTGCCCAAGAATCCTTAACATTGTTATGCTTACTATCTATAAAACTTTTGTGCACCATTGTATTTGGAGAATTCACAATTTTACACCAATATTTAAGAATACGTTCTTTCCTAATTATATCTAATGGTACTTTACCAAGTTCAGCATATACAGTAATGTTAGTGGTTTGCTGTCTAACATGCAATATCTGTTTAAGAAATCTTATGTACACTTTTTCAATATCAGGGGCTTTATGGAATCCCCATATTTCACATCCATAGTTTAAAATTGGCAAAATCATTGCATCAAACAATTTCAACTTTTCTGAGACAGCTAAAGATACAACATCAAATAATGAGTTAAGAGTAAATAGGGCACGTAGTGCTTGCCCAGATAAAGTTTTTTGAGCATTATAAAATTTTCCATTACTTGATAACATTACACCTAGATAACAAAATTTATTGACAACATTAAGTTTAACATTATCGTAATAAACATCAATATTTTCACGTCTGTTTCCAAGTTTACATACCATAGCTACAGTTTTCGACGCATTTACAGTAATGTTCCATTTTAGACAATATACATGTAACTTATTAAGCAATGTCTGCAATCCTGTTAAAGAGTAGGAAAACAATACAGTGTCATCTGCAAAAAGAAGCATAAAAATTTGAATTTCATGTAAAGTTACTAGATCGGCATTTATATCTTTAATATTTTCTTCCATATCATTTATAAATAGTATAAACAATAGGGGAGATAACGTCTCTCCTTGTTTAACACCCATATAACTGTCAAAATATTCAGACAAATTCCCGTTTGATCTCACACAAGTTTTCACAGACATGTACATAGTTTTCAACATATTAATAAATTTAGACGACATTTGATATTGTAACAATTTAAACCAAATTCCATTTCTATAAACTAGGTCAAATGCCTTTTTAAAATCAACGAATGCACAATATAATTTCTTTTTTTCATGCTGGATAACTCTATTTAACAAAGTTTGTAAAACATATATACAATCCACAGTACTGCGTTTTTGTCTAAACCCATATTGACAATCACTTAAAATACTATTATTCTCAATAAAAGCGCGTGCTCTAGTGTCTAGCAATTGTGAAAATATCTTTGAAAAAATACTAGTAAGCATTATACCTCTAAAGTTGTCAACACTGTTCAAATCGCCCTTTTTTGGAACGGGTACAATAATACCCTTTGTCCATGATTCTGGGTAGATACAATGAGAATACATATAATTAAACAATTTACACAATAATGGTGCTAAAATATGTTTTGAATCTAAAAATATTTCAGGGATTAACATATCTTCCCCTGCACTTTTCTGGCGTTTCAAAGTACTTATAGCTTTAGTAACTTCATCAATACTAAAGTCACAATCTAACTGCTCTACGACATGAGTATTCAAAGTGTCATCATTAACAGTATTATCAACATTTGTATTCGTAAAAACATCACTATCAGAAAAAAGAGACTTAAAATGCTCATAAAAGTCATTGGCTGTTAGGTTACAATTATTTTTACTCTTTTTCTTGTATTTTCGAACTAAATCCCAAAATTTTTTAGGATCATTTTTTGAAACACTATGTAATTCAGATCTTTGTTGTCGTGCATATGCATATTTGGATTTACGTGTAACATTTCTATAAAATCTACGTTTGTTAATAACCACAAGATAGTTTTCATTTGTCCTCGTAGCACGATAAACTTTATTTGCTCTATTTAATTCTCGTCTGGCAGATTTGCATTCGCCCGTGAACCACGGATTATCATGCTTTCTATTATATGATAGTGAATACACAGTTTTATTTACACCAAATACTTTATGTGCCACATTATACAGTTCGTTTGCAAAAATATTGACACCATCAGTTATAGATACATTTGACGATGTAATTTTAGATATAATTTCATTCAAATAATCACTACTGTTTAACAACAATTCATTAAATACATCAACTCTATTAATATCCCATACAAGTTTTTTTACATCAAATTTAACATTCTCAGATTTAGCACAAAAGTCAGCTTTAAAATTGACCTGTATTGGTACGTGTGAAGAAAATGAAAAACTATCGTGTACAACAAAGTCAGATATAATAGGAAATAGATGATAAGATGCTATCGTGTAATCAATTACACTTCTACCAAGTGACGACAGGAAAGTAAACCTGCCAACATTAGAATCATCACCTTTTCGACCGTTTATAATTTTCAAATCGGAGCTACAGCAAATATCAAGCAACTTTAAACCAGAGGTATTACAAACATGGTCCTCACTTTTCCTATCTGGTAAAGTAGAGTGACACTCTTCAGTATTAGTATCTATAGTATGTACATATTTGTCAAATAAATCAACAGGTTCAATAAAATCTTTACGATCCCCTGTTCTAGCATTTAAATCGCCAATTACGCATACTTTATACATATCATTATATTTTCTTATATAGCTTTCTAACATCTCAAAAAAACCAATGTCGTGCATTTTAAAATAAACAGAATCATTAGGTGGTATGTACGCAAAACAAATACAAATGTCATATTCAATATGAAAGAAATGCTTTGATAATTTAATCAAAATAAAACCACTATCATCCTTTTCTAATATAGTAATTCCTTGATATATATTATCTTTAATAAATAGGCAAACACCACCGTGACCTCTAAAACTTCTTCTATTTACCGCTACACTCTCAGGTCTAGGTACACTAATAGTTGTGTAGCCTTGAATTTCATACACATCAGTTTTACATTGCCAGGTTTCACTACAAAATATTAAGTCAAAATTAGTTACAAAATCAATAAATTCATTATCATTCAAACAATTCTTTAACCCTTCGACATTCCAAGCTAAAACTGTCAGTTCACACTCTTCTCTCCCGTCCTAAGCAGAGGAAGAGTCTGGATCAGGGCAATAGAGTACATTGTTTATATATAATTTGTCACGCACAAGGTAAGCTGTTTGTCCGTCCTTTCGAGCTTGCACCATCTTCGGGACGAGTTCCTTCCTGCGGGCTTGAACATCTTTTGGAAGTTGATCAAACACTGAAAAATTGGATTCTCTAAGAGTCACATTTTTCAGTGCTTGCTTGATTAAAGCTTTCGAATCAGAGTCAAAGTTTGCAATAATCGGCCTTGTTTTTCCCGGGATTGGATTGGTAGGTGAACGGTGTGCACGGTTAATATTAATGCGTGATCTAGCACTGGGGATTTTAAGAATTCTCTCACAAAAAACAAACACTTTCTCGGCACAACTTTCAGTGGCAGCCGCTGTCGCATAAGAGTCTGGGCTATGACCCGGGGCGCCTGCGACCACGGCTGTCCCTGTACTTATAGGGAATTTGGCTGGATCATCGGTTGAAGGATGTGATGTCTCCATGCTGTTGTCACCTGAGGCTTCTGGTGACATGTGTAGGGGAATGGCTGGGGCACCTCTGATAGAATCTTGTAGCAGGCGTGGGTGCTCTGAGATACCTAGCATTACCAAATTGTCTCTCATAGAGCGACAGCGAACATCGGTAACATCCTCCTGTAGCTGTTTATTTTGTTTTTGCAAATTTTTGTTACAGTCTGACAATACTTTTAACTCACCCTGTATTTTTTTTAAGTTTTCCTCGTGTGTGTCACTTTTTTTCAACACATCATCATATTTGTCACTAAGGTATGTCTGGCCATTTGCAATGTCTTGTATTTGGGATTTGGATTCGGAAATTTGGGACCTATTTGTTGCAATGTCAGTTTCAATTGTAGTGAGTCTGGATAGTATCAGTGCTTGTTGTGACTCAATAGTTTCAAGTTTTGAAAGTTTAAGAAGCACAGTGTCAATTTTCATCGAAAGATCGTGATTCGAATATTGTCTTGGATTACTGGAAGGGGTCTTGATCGTACCAAACGGGTTCGTGGGCACACTGCTCGTAGGGAATATAAATGCTGGTGCATTAGGATTCATACTAGGTTTCTGATCACTGGATAAAGTTTTAACTCCGGTAGAAACACTGCTTTGGACCGAGGTAGGCTGATTTTTACCTTTTTTTGAACCTTTTTTATTGTTTACATCGGCGCTGGTCGCCATTTTGATTATTGGATCCTCGGTATCACTTGAACTCGAACCTTTTTGGACCTTTTGCCGCTTTCTGTTCTGTTTTGTTGACATACGTGATGGCACATGTGTTTAATATATTTAATTACAATTCAAAATGTTTTCAAATGTCTCTGATTTACCACATATTTAAGTATTTTTCACCTCAGATTTTCAAATTTCAAACGTCATCCGCCATTGTTGTTGTTGTATAACCATCTTATATATTTGTTGTATACCATTTACCCTTACTCCGCAGAAACCGAAAGATAGTATTCTGACCACTCTCCATACTGTTGGTAGCTCACTTTTCATATTTTGATATTGAAATATTGACATTGTGAAGAACTATTTTGAATTTAAAGCTATCCATTAGAAAAATTCAGCAGCCTTAAACTTACCAATGAGCATCTTTGCAAACCGCCATGTTGGTATTCTCTCGAATTATGACGTCACACCGGGAAACACCTCTCATGTTAATTTGATAGGTTTCACGATAACAGTTACTGCTGAAAAACGGCGAGAGTTGCTTCGGATTAATCATGACATAACCCGAAATAAACCGCTAATTACCGATCTTTTAGGGTTTGTATAATTATATTTTTCAACATTTTAACAGATATTGAAATGGGAATTTCGCACTCGTCGGGTGATTGTTGTACAAGATAATGTTGGTAAACCAAACAGCGTCTCCTTATTCGGCGGCGTTTTATACTACGCCGACAACAGCCGACAAACTCTTAACAAACTTGAGCTACGTAAAGGCGGAAACATGACCGTGCTGAAGAAAAATGTCAGAAAGGTGAAGGCCATTACAATCTACCACAACCGCAATGTTAAAGGTGAGCCGAATATTTCAAAAGGGAGAGAAAGGAAATAAATTAATGATAACACGGTGCTTATAGAACATGACATTTTTATGATCTGCGCGGGGCCAAACAGCAACAACAACAAATATAAACATCAAAAGCTGGGAACAACAAGACACATTCTTTGCCTTTTCTAGAATACAGCGGACTCTACTCTTTATCCAATAAAAATAATGAAATGCTAAAAGCGTAAAGATTAAGACAGTGGATAAAACCCACACATTCTTTTGTATTGATTTAAATTTCTCACAAAGTCACGTGGTATAGGCACGGTGGATTAAGTTAAGATTTCTTTAACATTAAATGGTGCTTCAAATATTCGCTGGACAAGGTAAATTTCAAAATCTTACATGTGAAAGCAAAATTCAAGAAAAATGCATTCCCAACATTACCCCCCCCCCCCCCCTAATAAAAAATTTAAAAAATCCCCACTAAGTTAGAAAATAAATTGTTTTATCTGACTAATAGTTGATATTTTTAGTATTAATTGATCATTTCTAACAATCATTCCTTTACGGGGCGTTTTTTACGGCCGCCACATAATCTAATGATACTTATTGCTGCTCCAGATATTTCAATATTAATAATTGTTGATTTTATAATTCTAGAGTGTTTGATTAGATGCGTTCTTTATTTACAGAGATAGAGTAGAAAAAGGCAGCTACAACTTTAATTTAGTTTTACATTATTCTGAATTTATAGACATTCTTCCATCTTGTTTCGTTATTCAGCGGGAACATATTTTACTTATAACTGTTAAACACAATATTTCAATCAGGGGAAACCAACAAGTGTGTTTTGAACAATGGTGGATGCGAACAACTTTGTCTTCCAACTAGCCCAGCGTCGGCGGTTTGCGCGTGTGGCGTTGGTTACGTCAAGGCTGAAAATGGGTCATGCGCTATGAGAGAATCATTTATACTTGTTTCATTCGAAGCTTACGTGAGAGGTTTTGCTATGAACAGAGATGACCATGATGATGCGATTTCGCCCATAGGAGGCACGGGTAAATAAACATTTTAATGTATGAATTATTAAAGGCACAGGTCCTTTTAAAAAGGCCATATTAAACATCATCAAGTGGTCTGTGTTAGATGACGTCAGATAACGTCATGCCATCAAATCGATAAAGCTTTTTTTCAGACAAGTTTCCATGTGGAATGGATTTCGAAAAAGATGGAATGCATTCTTCCGAGAAATTTTGAAAATATTCTCAGAAAGATAGAAATTATTTCTGCGGGAAAGAGAGAACAAGATTTCGCGATAAAGATGGAAATTCTTCCAGCGAGAAAGATAGATTCCCCATCAAGAAAGATGGAAAACATTACCCGCGAGAAAATTTAGATGGAAAACATTTATTTATGACCCATATCATTTTAGCCTTATATGATGTTCCGTGAAAAGAGGACCGTTTGATCCTGATCTTTTCCTTGTAATCACGGGGTAGGTTTGGCGTACGTAATTTTTATTTCATTGCAGATAGGAGTATCTTCCAACTTGATGTTCATATGGCGGGAAAACATATATACTGGGTGGAGTTGCCCGGCTCTTCTTTAACAGAAGGCATATATAGAATGAGACCGGACGGAAGCGGGTACCAAAAAGTTATCACCGGAAGTGCTTTGAACAAACCCGGTGCTTCTGGTATCAAAGGAATCGCCATTGACTGGATTGCAGGTACATTGACATTCTTCTCAGTATCACTCAATTTGATTTTAGCAATTAATGTAAAACAAAATGGCGGTTTAATCAAAAACTACCAGTTCATTTTAGGGACCACTCAAATTGTTGATTAACTTGTAACTTTTATCTTTTCTTTATTAAACCCTTTATTCGTATTTTTTTTATGAATTTACCCGCTATCTTTTTACATTGTTTTTCCCGTTCCCCTTTTACATTGTTTACCCGCTTTCTTTTTACGATGTCCCCTTTCTTTTTTCAGAGTTAACTCGCTATTTTCTACGGTGTAAACCCCGCTATCTTTTTACAATGTTTGCCCGTTTCTTTTACAATGTTTACCAAAAGTGTTACAGTGTTCACTTTTTTTACACACTGAATGCTGAATCATTATGATATGTTTAAACGTTCTGTTTAAAGTATTTACTCTTTTTACAAACATGAATATGCTGAATCAGAATGATACTTACACGTTGGTGGTTTTAATCATTTCAAGGACAAAATGTTTTTTTTCCCTACCAATGTGCATTTTTTCCGAGAAAATCAGCTTTAAGTTTGTAACACCCAAAGTCAGTCAAAATCGTATTTCCTGTTTCGACGGCAAACGACCTAAATTTTGTTGGTACGCCGTAAAACCAAATAAAAACCAACTAAAGAAGAAAACAAATCAGTGTTTGCATGATCATTATGCCACAAATTGTTACCATTGATCAGAAAAATTTAACGCTGAATTAAGAAAAAAAGTATTTACAGCAAAATTGCATGTTTGCATGTAATGTCACGCACTCTAATTGAAGTATCTCATTATAAATCATAAATTCCGCGTAAACCGTACCATTTCATTTCTTTGATCTTCAGGATTCAATTATTTTCTGCGATTTATCGAGAGTCTAATTCTTGGTGTGTTTTTTCATTCATCTGAAGTGTTTATCAAGTTGATTTGTCATATATATGGATGAAATGTTTTCCCTGTCTATTCTCAGTGAATAATTATAAGGCAACTCTTTAAATTTAGTTTTCAATCAACAGTCTTGCACAAAAGTGGCTTCGTTTTAATTTCCATACTTTATCACACTATATAGAAATTAATTGTTGAGAAAGGCCGACTTTCGATTAGATCAAGATAATGTTTAAAATTTCAAGTGGTCTAAATAATTATACATGTACAATTTCATCTGAGGCAGACGATTGTCTAATTATCGCCGTTCTGGCGATATATACAATTGACAAGATTAGAAAAGTTCTACATGTACACCGCCTGCCTTTAGCCAATCAAAGCGAATAATTCAGTATCACATGATAAAATCAAAGCACAGAAGGCGCTGAATTTGTTTGGGTCTCAGAATGTCAGAAAGGTGAAGGTTGTGAGATTATAAACCAATTTGTTTTTGTATAGTGCCACCAATGCTTTCCAGCGTTTTAATTGTAGTAAATTGGCTATAAGACTAATTGCAACACTGATATTCAATTCAATGTTTATTTGACTTAAACAATTTGAAAAAAAATGAGTTGCCTTAACTGGGATTTGAACTCCAGACCTCTCGCTTCCTAAGCGAGCGCGCAAACCCCTCGGCCACGGTGAAGTTATATGTTAACGGCCTGAAGAAAACCATATTATTCTAAATTAGGGTTTGTAACCCTTATTATTTCGACGCTAACTGTTGTTTAACACAGATGTAAATAATCATGGAGCTTACTATAAGCATGTATATCTATAAAGAATAAAACAATATTAGAAATCTTCGACTATTCGGGAACTACTTTACTTGAAAATTAATGCGCATGTCATTTGACCATCTTTACGCAGTGATCTCCCCTGAATTTTTCGGCGTTAGTGTACATATAAAGAGAAATAAGCGCTCCAAAAAGCGGACTACTTTCGGCATTTGCAATTAACAGCATCAGGGTCTGAAATTTCGCTACCATTAATTGTTTCGTCTGACGACCCAAACAAATAAAAATGGACGTCAAACACTTCAATGAGGGATGCTTAATTGACTCGCCCAACCGCCATGTTTTGTCGGTTACTTATTCGTGAAATTCCATTATCAATGTACGAACTCAGTACCAGTCTGTAGTCTCTTGCAGGATAAACAAAGCAAATTGCAATATTTTTTGTTATGATTAGAGAATGTAGTCTTAAAAGAGTATATTTTGTTTTCTTTCCAAAACTTGCACTTAAAGAAAAAAACTTTATAAATTCTTTCTTCCGGGCGAGTTTAATACTATGAGTGTTTTGATTGCATCATCATCGCATATGGCAAGTAAGTTATAGTCCGTTTAAGAAAAAAAATCGCAAAGCAGTCGACGGAGAATATAACGTAAATTCCATTTATAACATGTTCAAAGACATCAATTTTAATAATGTGTAGCAAGTAACTGTTGTTAATTACGTAACAAGTTCTTTTTGCCGCTGCACGTACTTATTAAGTAGCGCATGTAGTCTAACTTATTATACTTCGAGTCCAGTTATTGTGATATTTTCCTCATGGGTAATACTGAGTATCTCCTACATTCTGACCCCGCACAGTCAAAATATTTTGACAAGAACGGAATGGTAAACTCAATTAAGTATTTTCGTTGGCTTTATGTGTTTAGCACATACAATAAAGTATTAGGCAAGAACGGAAATATTATTTCTATATTCATGCCATTTTTGGAATGTTAATACTTGTTATACAATTTCAATTGAGGCAGACTGTCTAAAATAAACATTGTTTTTGTATATTTTTCATCTTCCACGGTGACTGTAAGAATTTCTATTCGTACGAATTACAAGAACTGTTTTATCCCTATGATATTGTATTTCTTACA